TATTTAGATTTCGATTTTTTGGGGGGAACCCTTTTTGTTTGGTTTTTTTTCCTGTTCCGTTTGTTTTTTAGACCCCTCTGTAACCTTTTTCTGTTTTTTTTTTTTTTCTGTTTTTGCCAGGTTTACCCCAACGAGCGGCACAGTATTCGCTGCCCCGAATCCGGAGAGCACTACGAGATAATGCTGCTGCACTTTTTACAACAATACCTCTGAAATGAGTCTCCTGGGCAGAGTGCCGAGTCATTTCTCCCCCCCGCCCCCGATTCTTCAGCTCTGTCCCATCTCCAGTTCGTCACCCCGTCGTCAGACGCCTGGCAGCCGTGTCTGTCATGTAATTTCGCTCTACAGCTCTCTGTTTTGTTTTCTTTGCTTTCTTCGTCTTCCCGCCATAAACTCTCCTCCTGTGCCAGTTGGAGTGAACTTTTAGTGCAGGACAAAGACAAGGACACATGGAATAAGTCGCGTTCGCCCACATTTTACCTCCCGGGATGTTTTTTTTTTTTTGCCAAACGTTGTTAGTCGTCCATGTTGTTCGCCTGAGTCAGCAGTAGGAAGAAGGTAACACTCTGTAGACCTTAAATGAAATCTTTACATGTATTTAAAGGCATGAACTCTCACACTACATGTAAACACGTCCCAACTCCTCTCCCACATAAAAACACACAGCTACACATTTGGAGTAAGGAACCTGCAGCCTGAATAATACCGGAAAGAGGGAGAAGATCCGCGTTCTTCCCGTGTCCGCCTCTTTTAACTGTTGTTTAGAATAAAATATTTTTATGGATTTTTATTCCTTTGTTTTTTTTAATTATCGGCGGATGATGAAAGTTACTCGTTGATACCTTTGCACCGTTGTCTTTTCTCACATTATGTTGCTAAAGATGTCTTGCTTGCCTTCTCAACACATTATTTATATTTGCCAAAGTACTTCTCCACTATTGATCATGCTGGTATTTCTTTTTTTTTTTCTTTTCTTATTTTTACTGCAATAAAGACACCATGAGGGGGCGCAGTGGAGTCTTACAGCAGCTTTGTACAACTGAAATACAATTTGTACATGACAATGAATAAATGGATTAATCAGTCACGGCGCTCATTGATTCTGTGATCTTCTTATTGAGTTTGTTACAGATGCTACGAAGGATGAAACCTGCAGAGAATATAAA